TGTGAGTTGATGACTGTGTCTTGTTGTGAGAAAGAAAGAAGTAGACAGTGTGAGTTGCCGTGGTCAACTGTGGAGTCTCTCTCTTCTCTTCCCACATTATCATGACATTTTGAGTGATTAATGAAAGGAAAGGCAATTACAAGTGTCTCCTCGTGGTGCCAACTCAGAGTCCCTTTCACGGTTTCCCATTGAAATAAATTGAGCACCGGTTCCACTCCACTCCACTCCACTCCCACACTCACCACACCACTCTGTGTCGGAGAGGCAAGGCAAAAGAATGACACAAGCATTTCCCATCATGGTTTACATTCTGTTATCGCTAGTAGCGTGGGTGGCGTGTCTCAACCAAGAGGGGCTATACCTGTACCAATTCAAGCTCTCTCTCGACGACCCAGACGCGTCTCTCTTGTCGTGGAACTCAAGGGACGCCACCCCTTGCAACTGGTATGGAGTGACCTGTGCCGGCGACGCTTCGAACACCACTGTAACAGCATTGGACCTGTCGGACACCAACATCGGAGGCCCATTCCTCGCCAACGTTCTCTGTCGTCTCCCCAACCTCCTTTCCATAAACCTCTTAAACAACTCCATCAACCAAACGCTCCCTCTCGACATCTCCCTCTGCCGCAATCTCCGCCACCTCGACCTCTCCCAGAACCTCCTCACCGGTCTCCTCCCTGCCACGCTCCCGCTCCTCCCCAACCTCCGCTACCTCGACCTCACCGGCAACAACTTCTCCGGCCCCATCCCGGACTCCTTCGGAACCTTCCAGAACCTCCAAGTCCTCTCCCTCGTCTCCAATCTTCTAGAAGGCACCATCCCCCCCTCCTTGGGCAATGTATCCTCTTTGAAAATGCTCAACCTCTCTTACAACCCCTTCTTCCCGGGTCGGATCCCTCCAGAGCTTGGGAACCTTACCAACCTCGAGGTTCTCTGGCTTACCCAATGCAACCTCGTTGGCGTCATTCCAACTTCTCTCGGGAACCTCAACAAACTGCAGGACCTCGACCTCGCGCTCAATGACCTCTACGGCTCCATCCCGAGTTCGCTCACTCAGTTAACAAGCCTTACGCAGATCGAGTTGTACAACAACTCGCTCTCCGGTGAGTTGCCTCGGGGAATGGGGAATCTCACCCGCTTGAGGCTGCTTGACGCTTCCATGAACCACTTGACGGGGAAGATTCCCGAAGAGCTTTGTTCTTTGCCGTTGGAAAGTCTCAACTTGTACGAAAACCGTTTTGAGGGAGAGTTACCGGCCAGCATTGCGGATTCGGAGAATCTGTACGAGCTTAGGCTCTTCGGGAACCGCCTCACCGGGAGGTTACCGGCGACTCTCGGCAAGAATTCGCCGCTCCGGTGGCTGGACGTTTCGAGCAACCAGTTCTGGGGGCCTATCCCTGCGACTCTCTGTGATAAGGGTGCTCTGGAGGAGCTTCTGGTGATTTACAATCTTTTCTCCGGGGAGATTCCGGCGAGCTTAGGGACGTGCCAGAGCTTGACACGTGTGAGACTCGGATTCAACCGGTTGTCCGGCGAAGTTCCCGCCGGGATCTGGGGGCTTCCCCACGTGTATCTTCTCGAGCTCGTCGATAACTCTTTTTCGGGGTCTATTGCGAGGACCATTGCTGGTGCGGGGAACTTGTCTCTGTTGATTTTGTCGAAGAACAACTTCTCGGGAACGATTCCCGATGAGGTTGGGTGGTTGGAAAATCTCGTGGAGTTTTCCGCCAGTGATAATAAGTTCACTGGTCCGCTTCCTGATAGCATTGTGAATCTTGGGCAGCTTGGGATTCTTGATTTTCATAACAATAGACTCTCTGGGGAGTTGCCGAAAGGGATTCGTTCGTGGAAGAAGCTTAATGATTTGAATTTGGCCAACAATGAGATTGGCGGGAAGATTCCTGATGAGATTGGGGGTTTGTCCGTGCTGAATTTTCTAGATCTTTCTAGAAACCGCTTTACGGGGCAAGTCCCTCACGGGTTGCAGAATCTGAAGCTGAATCAGCTTAATTTGTCTTATAATCGTTTGACTGGTGAACTTCCTCCTCTGTTGGCTAAGGATATGTATAGGTCTAGTTTCCTTGGTAATCCTGGCCTATGTGGGGATTTGAAGGGGTTGTGTGATGGTAGGGGTGATCCAAAGAGTGTAGGTTACGTTTGGCTGCTTCGAGCGATTTTTGTTGTGGCCACTTTGGTTTTCCTTGTTGGTGTGGTTTGGTTTTACTTTAGGTATAAGAATTTCCAGGACGCCAAGAGGGTCATTGATAAGTCGAAGTGGACGTTGATGTCGTTTCATAAACTGGGTTTTAGTGAAGATGAGATTTTGAATTGTCTTGATGAAGATAATGTGATTGGAAGTGGTTCCTCGGGGAAGGTCTACAAGGTTGTGCTTAGCAGTGGGGAGGTTGTTGCTGTGAAGAAGATATGGGGAGGAGGGGTTAGGAAGGAGGTGGAGAGTGGGGATGTTGAAAAGGGTAGGGTTCAGGACAATGCTTTTGATGCGGAGGTTGAGACTTTGGGCAAGATCAGGCACAAGAACATAGTCAAGCTGTGGTGTTGCTGCACCACCAGGGATTGCAAGCTCTTGGTTTATGAATATATGCCTAATGGAAGTCTCGGTGATTTGCTGCATAGTAGTAAAGGAGGGTTGTTGGATTGGCCAACAAGGTATAAGATAGCTGTGGATGCTGCAGAAGGCCTCTCTTATCTTCATCATGATTGTGTACCCCCAATTGTTCATAGAGATGTGAAATCTAACAATATTTTGTTGGATGGGGACTATGGTGCGAGGGTGGCTGATTTTGGAGTAGCTAAGGCGGTTGAAACCACAGCAAAAGGAACTAAATCCATGTCCGTCATAGCTGGCTCTTGTGGCTATATTGCACCAGGTTAGTTAGCAGAAATTTCATGTTTTTTTATTTTTCTACTGTTGATGAATTTGAGATGCATTTAGTTTAGTGGTGAATGCTTCTGCATTTGGTGCTTAACTCGTAGTATATGGGTTGGCGGGTTATTAGAGTAATTTGATTGTTGATCCTTTACTGCTAGAACTGGAAGTGTGTGTATCTTATCCTCCTTAGACCCTACAAATCACGACGGTAGTTTCATGCATGGCAACTCTTTTTCATGTTTTTGTTGTTTAGTGACAAGTGGTTTGCTTTTGTTGGCATTATACCTAATCTTTGTCCTGATATTATAATTATAATATAGATATAAGGTACTACATGCTCTAGAAACAGGTTGTCTATGATCTTTTGGATTTCTTTTGCAATCAAACTATTCTGTTTCTTCGTAGTCAAACTGACGTGATCCTTTTCTCCTGCTGCAGAATATGCATACACGCTGAGAGTGAATGAGAAGAGCGACATATACAGTTTTGGGGTTGTGATACTCGAGTTGGTTACTGGAAAACGCCCGGTGGACCCTGAATTTGGGGAGAAAGACTTGGTTAAGTGGGTGTGCACTACCTTGGACCAGAAAGGCGTGGATCATTTAATTGACTCAAGGCTTGACTCTTGTTTCAGAGAAGAAATATGCAAGGTCTTCAACATTGGACTCATGTGCACTAGTCCTCTTCCGATTAACCGGCCTTCAATGAGAAGAGTAGTGAAGATGTTGCAAGAGGTGGGCACAGAGAACCAAACCAAGCCTGCCAAGAAAGATGGGAAGCTATCCCCTTATTACTGTGACGATGTCTCGGATCATGGAAGTGTTGCATAATATAGACTTGCAAAGGTTGGTCTATTTGATGATCCAGAAGGGGGAGTTCAAAGCTTTTCTTTTACTATAAGCCAGCTTCCCTCCATGTGTTTCAGCGCACGCTTTACAAAGTTGACAAAAGAAAAGAGAATTAGAGAATAGGATTTTATTTTTTTTGTGGTGGAAAATAGAAGCTTGAGGAGTTTAATGTTTTTCCCTATAAAAGTATGTCCATATCAAGAAGCTTTCCTACCAAAATTAAATTTGCGTTTGCATTACAAACTTGTACTCACAACATAAAGGATGTTTCCATCGTTAAAAAGTTCCTTTTTCGAGTACATTTCCTGGAAGGCTTTTAGCTCTGACTCGAGCATGGGCCATGGGAGTTATAAAATTGCAAAATCAATGAGACAACAACTTCCAAATCCTGTTTTATATTTTCTCTAACTTTTAATCTTTTGGTTCTAGGAAGGTGCTCTTGAACCTGCGAAGATTCTGAAATGGGGATAAGAAACCACATAAATACAATGCCATATATAATTAATAAAAAGGACAAAAGCAGTCAAACTATGCTTCCCCCCTTAATTAACAGCTTCGAATTTCTATAAGCAACACACTGTAGTTATTTCAGTTCACTCTTGTTAGGTGAATCTACAGGCTGCCCATTTTTGAATGCATATAATTTTGTAGATATTTCGGATTAAATGTTTTGACTGTTCTCAGATTGAAAATTTACTTCTCACGGTGCTCAAACAAATATGCTGGGTACAGCTATAAGATCTGAGTCAATGAGGTTGTTAGGCAGGCTTGTCTCTGGTCCCTCTCTTTAAATTGCTGGTTTCGACCATTTGGGCTACCTTCTACTTTAGTTGTTAATGAGTAATGGTGATGGGTTATTAAATATGTCCATTTGGAAGATGACTACGGCTTGGTGGTAGTGATATTTTTGCTGCTGCATCTAGCAGTGGAATTTCACTTGTCCCTGCCGCTTCTTACTTATTATATCTAGTGGTCATTTCTAAGAGAACCACTTCACCATCTGAAGAAAGTTAAACGAAATTATTGGAAGATTGAGCCTTTTAACCACCCCACTTTCTAAATTTCTCGCAAAGCACCCAACAAAGAAATGTGACACTGTTATCACTGATTGTTGTGTTTCTTCGGCTGTGTTTTGCTTTGTTAGACGTGGCCTTAATTGGTCCAATGACTTGAAGCTACAATGCTCCATAGTTCCTGCCAAACGCATCATAATTCACAGAGCTTTTCATGGATCTTGTTTAATGACTCTAGAGACGTGCCAATCATGCATCATGCATGTAGTTTTGAAAACCAGTTGTAGCAGTGCATTGGTAATTAATGTTGAAATTGTAGGACCATTCTGTGCTGAGGTGGTTCAGTGGTTTACTATGTGTCAACATTATTTGCAAACTTACCACTGCAATTTTGTTACCATGATCTTTTGCCAACATTTACTCATCCATACAATTCAAATTTTCTCAAATAGTTTGGTTATTCAAATAACATGCTAACAACCACCACCACCATTATGTTTTTTTACACACGGACCTTCAAGTGGTTACCTTTCACTCTCATTCTCACGCGTGTATGATGTCCATATCCATTGTGAAACTTTTGCGTTTTTGTGGAGATTTTTTTCTTTTCAATTTTTATTTGATTCGGACCCATTCAAACCTAGCATCCATTATGATGTGAATTGGATAGTAAATTTTGACTTGCTACTAAAATTAATTACTTTAATATGTACAAACTTTCCACCATAGTTTTTCATATATTTTTTTAAATTTATATATAAGTTTACTTATCCACTTAAATATTAAGTGAAGTTTTTAACAACTTATGAAGAACTAATTCATGTGAATTCACTTTAAAAGCCTTGATTTCATGGAATTTGAAACAACATGCATAACAATTTGAGAAACTGTTTCTTTTTTCTTCTTAATATAAGACAAATGCTATTTGTTTACCAAATAGTGAGAATTTATGTGGCAAGCCACTCAAAAGTACGATAAACAAATTGGACCTAGAACATTTTAAACCTAATCAAAGTCGAGCTTAATTGAGTTTAAACTTTGGAGTTTAAAATTGGAAGAAGTGGTTGAAATTGAGTTCATTACAACCTTGTATGGATGGAGAAATTTTAGAGGATAATTTACCTTTATAAATAATTTATGATGAAATATGTTTTGGATTGAAAATTTTAAAAAACATTGAAATTCTATAAACTTAACAAAAATAAATTGGTAAATTAAAATTCTAGAATTTCAAATTCTACTAAGAAATTGACAGCACATTAATTAGTGGCCCTTCTAAGAGATACGCAAAACTAAGCCCATGAAGATCGTGAGGCCCCAATGTGGGCTCAGCCTATTTTCTCTCACATCCTTGTAGTTTCCATGTAAGCATATAACAAAATTAATTAGTGGGCCTTCTAAGACATAGAACAAATAGGCCCATGAGGCCCCAATGTGGGTTCAGCCTATTTTCTCGTACATCCTCGTTGTTTCCATAACTTGATTGTAACAAGACGAGGAAATTCTTTAAAGCCGCAGCATATTACTACTGGATACGTCTACGGCTTTCTAATGGCCTTTGCTTTATGCACCTCTAAATTTTACTATACCTACTGTAGCTTTTCATTTATATATATATATATATATATATATATATATATATATATATATAAATTAATATTCATTTATTATATTGTGTTACAAAATGATTAATTTAAAATATTTAAGAATTACTTTTGAATTATTCATTCTGAATGAGAGCAAAAACATTTGGAATAAATTATCAAATATATATTTCAGAAAGTTGATATTTAAAATGTATTTTAATATAAAATAATATTTTATATTTGTGAGAAGAATCCGCCTGGAAATAATATTTTAAAATGTAAAAATTATGTTTTGAAAACTTTTAAAAATAAAATAAAAAATGTATCAAAATTTTATAGGATGAAGAAAATTAAAACCTAATAAGACCTATATTTTCGATCCCCATCAATAAATCAAAGGGGAGGAGGAATATACGTGCACCAACACAAATATTCATTCGTGCACCAACATCATATTGCATAAGCTAACAAGAAGAAAAATCCTGTGTGATATTTAATTGGTAAACTATAGGAATTAAGATTATGAAAGTTTCAAGCATTTTTGGATTTGTCATATTAGTTCAGAATGCATTATCCATCATCTTTTACAAATCTATTTCAATAATGTGTCATTGAAAGAGAGATTAAACTTTATTATACCATAAGCTTTAAAAGATTTTCTCATAATTACCATATAAACCTCTTCCATATTGACTCGGTTTAGCAGAATTCGATTAATATAATCATCAAGTTGAAACATCTAATCATAAGCTTGTGGACGATATTACAATCGAAAATATTTGGTGTAAATTGAATTTAGATTTTTATTAATTTTTTAGTGAAAATTAACCATTAAAAAATATATAGATATTTTTTATACATAATATAATACTCCAATTACAATTACAATTACAATTTAATTTCCCGTATGCTAATTTGTTTTGGGAAAAATTAAACAGACACCAATATGAGTATTGTTGGGGTTTTTTCATAAAAGAAAAAGTGGTATATATATATATATATATATATATATATATATATATATATATATATATATATATGATCACTCTTGTTTTTTTAAGGTTAATTGTGTCCTGAGATTCATTAGAATTGTACGCATCAGGAATAAAACAGTACTTTTAATCTTCACAAGAACAAAATTCAAACCGACATCTGTATTATGTCATGTCATGTCATTTTAAAGTATCCTTTCAGTAATTAAATCCAACTATAAACCTCTCAACTTTCTCACCAATCTACCTCTTTGGTCAAACAAATCCACCCTATTCTCTTTGAACCTTCTATTCAACGGTTTCATCTCTCCCCTACTTTGAATCACATATCTTAATACCAGTTTCCACACTTCTCTTTGACATACCATCCAATCTCTCCCTTTATTCCACCTTCTTCCTTTACCTCTATTCCCTTCTTGGCTACTTAATTAGCCCAACATCACAAGCAAAAGAAATTAATCTATTGTGCAAATAATGAACCATGGGTACATTGCTCATGATTTGGTCATGGTCATTCTATCCTTGTCCCTCATAATTCTTGGTGTTGTCCTCTTTCTTGCATGCAAGAAGAAGCCAGTTGAGTCTGAAGAGACACTTTCTGTGAAGCACTGTGCTCGTGTGTACTCATTGATGGACCTTGATGCTGCCACTGATGGCTTCAACCATAGGAGAATGGTGGGAAAGGGTCGTCTAGGAACAGTGTATGCTGGGGTTCAAGAGAATGGAGAGCTTGTGGCTGTGAAAAGGATTCATCCCGTGCTTGTGTTGAGCAATGCAGGGTTTGGATTCTCGTCAGTGTTGAAATGGCTCTCTTCAGCTCAACATCCCAACATAGTTCCTATCATTGGATTCTCAGAAGCCCCGGGTGAGAGATTTATAGTGATGGAGTTTGGGCGCATGGTGAGCTTGGAGTTCTGTTTGCGCCAAAACGTTAATGGGGCATCACTTTTGGATTGGAACAAGAGAATCAGAATTGCAGCCGGAGCAGCCAGAGGGCTTCAGTACCTGCATGAAGTGGCAACACAAAACATTATACATGGGTGTGTCAAGTCCTCAAATGTTTTAATTGATGTCAACTTTTGTCCCAGGATTTGTGATTATGGTCTCAACTTTTTGGCACCACGAGAAAAGAGAGGGCTAGTAGGTTATGTGGATGATGAGTATTGGAATGAAAATGGAGGTGGTGCAAGCAAGGAAAGTGATGTTTATGGGTTAGGGGTGGTCATGCTTGAGCTCTTAAGAGGTAGAGAATGCGAGGAAGGAGTATGAAATTTGTTCTGCAATAGCATGTATTCGTTTTTTAATTACTCAATATAGCACGATTTTTCTTAAATTGAGAATTCAGTTTTTCGGAAGACGAAACCTAAACGTAATTATATTTGATAATTTTTTCAAATAATTTAGAATTCGATTTTCCAACAATCGAATTCTGAATAGTTTTCTTTTTATTTTGTTAAGAAAAAAAAACTAACTAATATATATATATATATATATATATATATATATAATATTTTATTTAACATTTATAGTTTTAAATTAGGTATTTAAAAATATTTGTATATTTCTAAAATTAATAATATATTTAGATTTATGGTTGAAAGTAGTAAAATAATATTTTTAAAATATATTATTAAATATTATAGTTAAATTTATTTGTATGATTAAACTTTTTTTAATTTTTTGATTTATTTGATATTATAATTTTTTTAGAAATTAATAATAAATTAGGAGGATAATAAAAATCTTAAAAATTATATGTATATAAGAAGAAATAATATTTTGATGTAAAATTACATATATATATATATATATATATATATATTCTAAAATATAATTTATAGTAATTACTATAATATAAAATATATATTCCAAAATATAACTTATTTTCATTTATATATTTATTATAGAAATTAAAATAAATTCAATTTTAGAATATATATATATATATATTAAATATAAATTATTTTCAAGTTGATAATTATTATTCTAATTTATGCAAAATATATATATATATATATATAATTAATTTATAAGAGCGGTTAACATTTATTATAATTTATTCTAATTAATTATTCATGTATGTGTCACTTTTAAGAGCGGTTAACAATGTAACCGCTCTTAAAAGTGCAAATATAATAAGCGGTTCCACCTTAACCGCTCTTAAAAGTGAAGATATAATAGCGGTTCCAAGTTAACCGCTCTTAAAAGTAAAGATATAATAGCGGTTCCACGTTAACCGCTATCTAAAATATATTTTTAATAACGGTTAAATCGAGAACCGCTATCTAAAGTCAATTATTTGAAAATATAATCGATTATTGGAAAATTTAATCGATCAGAATAGAGTAATTTAATTGAACATATAATAGCGGTTCCACGTTAACCGCTATCTAAAATATATTTTTAATAGCGGGTAAATCTAGAACCGCTATCTAAAGTCAATTATTTGAAAATATAATCGATCATTGGAAAATTTAATCGATCATAATGGAGTAATTTAATTGAACATATAATAGCGGTTCCTCTTTAACCGCTATCTAAAATATATTTTTAATAGCGGTTAAATCTAAAACCGCTATCTTAAGTCAATTATTTGAAAATATAATCGATCATTGGGAAATTTAATCGATCATAACGGAGTAATTAAACAAGTAATTGATTTAGAATTCGATTTATTCACAATTGAATCCTAAATAGATTTTTTTTATTCGAGATAAGAAAGAAAAAATAACTAATATATATATATATATATATTATAAAATATAATTTATTTTAATTTTACATTAAAATATTATTTCTTTTTATATGTATTTTCCTCATAATTAATTATTAATTTCTAAAAAAATATTACAATATCAAATAAATTAAAAAATTAAAAAAATTTAATCATACAAATAAAAATTATATTTTACTACTTTCAACCATAATTCTAAATATATTATTAATCTAATAAATACATAATTCTTTTTAAAACTATAAATTTTATATAAAACATTATAAAATTACATATATATATATATATATATATATACTTAATATAAATTTGAAAAATTATTTAAACAATTAATTAATTTATAATTTTAGAAATGAAATTAAGTTATATTTTGGAAGATATATATTATAATTCTAAATATAATTTTTTTTAAGTTGATAATTTTTATTTGATATATTTTTTTAATTTTAATGTGATATATTTTTTTATTTATAATTATTTAATATATATTTGAAAAACTCATTGATTATTTTAAAATTAATCAATTATTTTAAAAAATAACCAGGTTCTCAGTATGAAAAACTAATCGATTACTTTTTGAAAAGATCGATTAGTTTTTTAACATATAATAGCGGTTAAGGTGGGCCCGCTATCTTACAATTGCTTTTAAGAGCGGTTAAGCTGAAACCGCTATCATACAGATCACTTTTAAGAGCGGTTAAACTGAACCGCTATCATATATATATTTTGCATAAATTAGAATAATAATTATCAACTTGAAAATAATTTATATTTAATATATATATATATATTCTAAAATATAATTTATTTTAATATTTATAATATATATATAAATAAAAATAAGTTATATTTTGGAATATATATTTTATATTATAGTAATTAATATAATTATATTTTAGAGTATATATATATATATATATATATATATATATATATATATAATTTTACATCAAAATATTATTTCTTCTTATATACGATTATATAATTTTTTTAAGTATAATTTTTAAGGTTATAATTTTAAAAATAATTTTTTTAACTTTATATTTATAATTTATATAATATATATAATTTAAAAATAATTTTTTTTATTTTAATTTGATATATTTTTTTATTTATAATTATTTAATATATATTTGCAAAACTCATTGATTATTTAAAAATTAATCAATTATTTTAAAAAATAACCGGTTCTCGAGTATGAAAACTAATCGATTACTTTTTGAAATGAGCGATTAGTTTTTCAACATATAATAGCGGTGAAACTGGAACCGCTATCATAGAGTCACTTTTAAGAGCGGTTAAACTGAACTCGCTATCATATAGTCACTTTTAAGAGCGGTTACACTTGAACCGCTATTATATATATATTTTGCATAAATTAGAATAATAATTATCAACTTGAAAATAATTTATATTTAATATATATATATATATATATATATATTCTAAAATAGAATTTATTTTAATTTCTATAATATATATATATATATATATATATATATATATATATATAAATGAAAATAAGTTATATTTTGGAATATATATTTTATATTGTAGTAATTACTATAAATTATATTTTAGAATATCATATATATATATATATATATATATATATATATATGTAATTTTACATCAAAATATTATTTGTTCTTATATACATATAAATTTTAAGATTTTTATTATCCTCCTAATTTATTATTAATTTCTAAAAAAATTATAATATCAAATAAATCACAAAATTAGAAAAAGTTTAATCATACAAATAAATTTAACTATGATATTTAATAATATATTTTAAAAATATTATTTTACTACTTTCAACAATAAATCTAAATATATTATTAATTTTAGAAATATACAAATCTTTTTAAATACCTAATTTAAAACTATAAATGTTAAATAAAATATTATAACATATTATATATATATATATATATATATATATATATATTAGTTAATTTTTTTAACAAAATAAAAAGAAAACTATTCGAGAGAAAAATCGAATTCTAAATTGTTTGAAAAAATTATCAAATACAATTACGTTTAAGTTTTGTATTCCAAAAAATCGAATTTTCAACTAAAGAAAAACCGTGCTATCTAGGTAAATAAAACATACGAGTATGCTTATTTAAGTAATTAAAAAACGAATACGTGCTACTTGTAAAATAAAATTCGATAGCAAAGTGGGGTTTGCCTTTGATCAAGGAATTGAGTTTTGGTGAAGTTTTGGATCCTAGGTTGGTGATTCCTACTCACATGAAGGCTCTAGTCAGATTAGCCAGAGTTGCTTCAGCTTGTGTTGGTAATTCAAGGAAGTGTAGGCCTTCCATGGCACAAGTGACAACTATTTTGAACAATTTAGAGACGGAAGAGTGCAGTTGAAATTGATAGGAGCAATTGGCTTCAATTTTGGGCAATGCCGAGATGGAGACCCGTTACCCAAATGGGAAATGAAGTTGGTATGCATTTCAAGATCAGACGTTAATTGGACGGTGGCTTCCTCCTTTAGGCCAATTTTATGGTCCCCTTTAGTGTGGGGAATATTCTTTTGTTGAGGAAAGAAAAGGACTCATTTTTTTCCTCTCTCTTTTAATCAGCCTTTTATTTTCATTTCTTTATCACCGTGTGATCGTTCTAAACATATTTATGTAAATCACGCAGATTTGCCATTCTGTGTTTATATACGTAGTACTTAATAGCTATTTTCAATATATATACATATATAAAAGATATATAAGAGATAAAACACATTTTAAAAAGTATGATTTGACCAAATTTAAAAGAGATCTTAAAATTTTCAATAATATGTTAAGTTAAAAGGAAATTAAATATATAAATAGAATAATAACCTGAAGAATTCTAGATTTGTGTGGAAAATGTAAGTAAGATTATAAAACAATTTTGAAAGAGAACTGCAATGGTTGATAGAACTTTCCATTGAATGTCAAGAACTTGCAATGTAAATGCAAAAAATTAAAAGCAATCAATTTAATGAATACGGTAAATGTGCAACTGAATAAAGATAAAACTTTGAATTTACAGGTGTTTGTGTTTGGAATAAAGAAAGAAGAACGCATTTGCTACATAATTAAAATATTATAAAAAAGATAATTTGTAATATTTCGAAGTACTATTCTTATATAAAAAAAACCACATCTTTAATTAATATAATTCGTTCGCCCTTTAAGATACGTCAACTTATTCATTCAGTCTTCTGAATATTTTTTTCAAACTCATTAACATTAAATATTATAATATATTTACATATAGAATCTTAGTGAAATCTATTTTATTTGTATTATCATTTTCATTTTCAAGGAGCCATTGGCAATATGCTAGCAGTAGAAAATAAAGAATAATATCTACGATAATCTTCTTGTTGTGTTTACAAGACTTGACATTAATCGTGCAAAAGAATGAGTTTAATAATTATTATTTTAACTAAAACATAAGTGTAATGATTTATATATATAATTAGCGAAAAAAGTGAGTATATTAAAATTTTTTAAAGAAAAAATAAAATTTAAAATAATAT